TAATGAATGAGGGTGGGGAGGGGTGGAGGAGGGTAAGGGTAAAGTGGTATTTCAGAAGATCTTTAAAGAATGGTTAGCAGCCCAGAAAGTTATGATAGGCATAGTCACAGAGCTGGGAAACACTGCAGCCCAAATAGGGGGTGGTCAGTAGTGCAGTTTGGTTTTAGGACAGAGTTTGCAGAGAAGAATATAATAGGAGAAAAGGCTAGAAAGTTAGGGTAGTACCAAATTGAGAAAGAGCTTCAATACAGAAAAAAGACATTGACTTTGGTTGTCAGTGGGGAAATGCTAAAGCCTTTTCAGCCTCGCAGGAATGAGTAACCAGATATATGCATAAAAAAGCCTGAATCTAGTAAAATATGATTTGGATAGGAGAATGAGTGGAGGAAAAATCCTAATAGAGGAGGATACTATAAAATTCTAGGGAGGTTGTAATGAGGACATGTCTTCTGGTGGTAATAGCAGAGATAGAGAAGAGGGAACAAATGGGAGAGACATGGATGAGATGGAGGGAACTGGATTTGGCAACTGATTAGATATGAGGTGAGAGAGAAGAAAGTATCAAAGTTAATCTCAAGTTCTGTGCTAGGCACTGGGGAAAGAAGTGAAGACATGTACACCTACAGACATATAAAACATACAAACAAAATAGATACAAGGTAATCTTGGGAGAAAAGGCCCTAGCTAGTGGCGAACCAGGAAAGGTTTCATATAGGAGGTAGTGCTAGACCAGAGCCGTGAAAGAAACAAGGGATTATAAAGGTCAGATGTGAGGCGTAAGTACATTCCAGACCTCAGGGATAGCCAATGTAAATGTATAGAGATGGAAAGGAGAAATGAAGTACCCTGTATAAGGAAGAGTAAGGGTAGTTTGGCTGGAAAGTAGGGTACATGAATGGGAGTAATGTAAAATAAAGCTGGAAGGGTAGGTTGGAGTCTGGACGTGAAGATTTTAAAAAGCCAAACTCTAGAGATAAGAGGGAGTCTCTGGAGCTTATTGAGTAGAGGGCTGATTTGGTCAGAGCTGTACTTTAGGAAAATCACTTTGACAGTTGTATGGAGGATAGAATGGGGCAGGGAGAAACAAGGAAAAGCAATTACAGGGCTATTGTGCTAGTCTAGGCAAGAGGTGATGAGTTCTTAGGGGAACTAGGTTGCTGGCTACATGAGTGCACAGGAGGGAACAAACAGAATGGGACAGATAACATTTAGAGAAGAAAAGTAAAAATTTAGCAATTGATTGGATATGCTGTGTGTGTGTGGGGGGGGGGTAAGTGAACATTTGGAATTGAAAAAGCCGAGGTTGTAGATCTGGGTGACTAGAAGTATGCTGGTGCCCTTGGCAGAAACTGGGAAGCACAGAAGAGAGAGAGATTTTGGAGAAACATTAATTCTATTTTGAACATGTTGAATTTGAAATGTTTACATAACATCCAATTTGAAACATCCAATAGGTAGTTGGTGATGTCTGGCTAGAGCCAAGAGAGAGATGAGGACTAGATATGTAGACTGGGAATCATCAGCATAGAGATAACAATGAAACATGTAAGCTGGAGAGTCTACTAAGACACTATAGGAAGAGAAGGCCTGAGCCAGATCCTTGAGGTATACCCACAGTAAGGGGATGTGATATTAAAGATGGTCCCTCAAAGGAGCCTAAGACTAAGTAGTCAGATAGGTAGAAGGAAGTTCAATAGAGTGCAGTGTCACCAAAACCCCATACCCACCCCCCCAAAAGAAACCCAGAGAAGTGAGAATCTCTGGGAGAAAAGTGTGGTCAACAGGGGCAAATGCCAGGGGGTCAAGAGGGATGAGGTCTGAGAGGTCAGCAGACTCATCAATTAAGAGATTATTGACCAGCTTGAATAGCAGTGGTACTGACAGAATTAGTGATGTCAAATGACAGGATAACTTTTTTTGCAGGAAGAGGGGAGCTAAATTGTGGATATAATGATTAGAAAGTGCTGGTGGGACATCTGGGTAGAGAGTAATGTTGAAGGCAGTCAGAGATGCAGTCCTGGAACTCAGGAGAAAGGTTGGGGACTAGAGCTAGAGATTTTTGAGTTACACGATAATGAATGATATTGCTATGGAAAGACAGAAGAAAGCCAAAGACAGAATTTTGGGAAACACTTTCAGTAAGGTATTAAGATGATAAGTCAGCAAGAAATAGGTGTGAAACTAGGAAAGTGTACTGTCACTAAATTCAAGGGAGAAGAGAAGGAAGAGTGTTCCACTGGATCAAAACTATAACCATTCAGCTTTTGAATTCCTGTCCTGGGGCTTGTACTGCCCTGGTCAGTGAGCACAAACTCACACGGCCCACTATATCAAGCCCACCTTAGGCATTTTTCACATTCATAGAATCACAGATTTTGGGCTGCAAGGGACCTCTAAGGCCATCTCACCTAACTGTCTTATTTTACAGATGAGGAAATTGTTACAGGACATTTAAACATGTCCAAGGTCATATCTAGCCATCTTGCCAACAGTCCCAATATCATAAGACTGTCCCCCTACTTTCCATCTCTTCTTCTGGGAACCAAAATCAAAACAATACTATCTTTAGTACTGGTAATGGCATGTCAGTTAACACCTCTAGGGCTCCACCTACCATTCCCCTTACTTTATAATCTCATCCTAAGAGAATGAAAGCTTCTTGAAATTTATTTTTGTATCTGTATACCCTTCTCACTCAGCACAGCGTTTAGCACAGCCTCCTAAATGGCCTCCTGGCTTTAAGTCTTTCCACAAAACCTACCAAAGAGTTTTACTTAATATTTAGTTCTAATCATGTCACTTACCCATTTAATAAACTCCAACGGCCCCTTATTGCTTCTAGGGTCAAAGCTTCTCTGTTAGACTTTTAAAGTCCTTTACAACATGGCACCCAACCCACCTTCCCAGCCTTATTACACATGACTTCTCTTCCCACACTCTGCAGTCTAGTGAAACTATCCCTATTGCTTTTCCTAATAAATGTAGGTCTCTGTTTTCCTTCTCTGAGTCTCTGCACTGGCTATGTCACATGCACTCCCACCTCAATTCTAACTCTAAAAGTCTTTTTATTTTTTGCCTTGAAAGCTGCTCAAATATCATGCCTTTCCTAATCATCCTCTCCCGCAGCTACTAGTGCCTTATAAATTTACCTTGTACTTATTTTGTACAGATTTCATAGACGCTTATTTATGTTTATATCTCCATCCACAGACTGTAAACTCATTGAAGGCAGGTACAGATGCTTCATGTTTGTGTTTGTATCCTCAGGAACTAGCAAAGTGCCCTTCACACAGTAAGTGCTTAATAAATACTTGCTGATTGATTTGTGCCTAATAACTTAGCTTTTTCATTTATTCATACAGAGAAAGACTTCTTTCAGTTGTAACATCAATAAATCTATTTGGAGAGGTCTCTGGAGCACAAATAGCTTCAGGGAGATGTTATCTGAGCTCACTTCCCTAGCCTCATTCCCATCACTACAATCAAATTATCATTAAGTTACCCTTCTCCCCTTATTCCCTGAAAAAACAGAAGAACTATATACCCAGCAGTATAAATTAAGACAAAGCAAAAGACAACAAATCTCACTTCCAATATAGTGAATAACATTAATTTCTATTTTTAAAATTAAAACAGCATGCTTGTATCAAAAAAGTGTATCAAACTAGATTTTTGTTAAATGAAAAAAAAGTTTAAAGTATATGTAGAGAATGAGCACTTTAGCAAGTAAAGACCCAATCTCATCCTGCAACAGTTTCTTTCATTCATGTTATTTTTTAAGTTCTGAATATATTACATAAGGATAACAATCAGGTAACCAGGGAGGTGAAGGATGCTAAGGAGATTAGTCTGGAAGACTGAACCAAGAAATGCTTTAAATTTAGTAATTTCTTGAGCCCTTTTCAGGACAGGAAGGCTGACCAGAAGGCTCATCCAAGAGAAGTTGTAACCACCATACAATTTATAGGCCTTTTCTTATTCCGACATGAAGTTAACAGCATCACAGAATGGCAAAGTACAATAGTCTTCTAGACCAACCTATACCTAAAAATAAATTCCACACTACAAAATACCAGATAAATGGCTGAAAGCCTTTGCTTGTAGACCTCCACTGAAACTTCGAAAGCCTCATATGAACTGATGCACAGTGAAATATACTATTTGAAGTTATAATTATATAAAATATGGTAATTGATTCCAGCTTGATGCAAATAAGAAAGAAATGCTGCCATTTCACTATTCAACTAATTGGAAACTAGCTCTAAAGAGAAGCAGCTCTTGCCTCTCCTTTTTAGAATGTGGCAGGGACTAGACTCTTGCTTTTCTATTTGTATTTCCAATTCATGGCACAGTGCTTTCCACTGCTAAGTGCATTAATAAATAAATTCTTACAGTCATTCATTCTAGTTGGTGCAGCAGATGGAACAGACTCTGGGAGTCTGAAAGATGTGAGCTGAAATACAGCCGTGGACTTCCCGGAGTTGTGACCCTGGCAAGTCACTTAACCTTTGTTTACCCTAGTTTCCTCATCTACAAAATGAGAACACTTATAGAACCTACCTCCCAGGGTTGTTGCGAGATAATTTGTAAAGTGCTTAGCATAGTGCTTGTACACTGTCCTGATACATATTAGCTATTATCATTAAATTAAACAGAACAATTTACAATTCGGTTGTGGAAAGAACGTCAGACTTTGTAGTCAAGAACACAATGGTTCAAATTTAATACCACTGGGGCTTTGTGCCAGTCATTTCACTGCTCTGCAAAATAAGTGGGCTTGAATAGGGAATGGCTCAAAGAACTTTGTAGAATTCTGCCAATCTAGGGTTCCCGGATGAGCAAAGCAAACGGTCGCTACGAAAGACATGCAACCTCTCCCCCTCCAAAGCAACACTACAAGCCTGCGATGTACCACGTGCCTCGTTCTTTGCTGGGAAGCACGCTGAGCGTGGGGGTTGGGCGAACGTAAAAAGCGCGCACGCACGTGCAGTTGTCGCCGTCCTCCTATGCCTTCCCACGCGCCCCTCTACTGCGCAGGTGTGGGCGCTCTGGGCTGCGCTGGGCGGGAGAGGCGGCTTGTGGGGTCGGGCCTCGGAAGTCCGGCGGGCTTGGCCAAAAATGGCGGGCTCTCTGGGTTGCCTGGTCATGGCAGGTGGAGGCGAGAGCAGCGACAGTGAAGAGGACTACTGGGACATCGGGTACATGGATCGTACGCCTCAGGTAGAGGGAAAGGCCGTGGTTTTGTCCCTGCAGTCGCCGGCCACATCCCCACCCCACCCTCCGGCCGAGGATGAGGCCGGGCCGAGGTCCAGGCCTGTAGTGAGTCCGAGGTCTCGTGAAAGCAGCGCCCTTGAGCCGCCCAACCCGAACAAAAACGTACTGGGGGCCTCACCTCCTGGTCCGGTGCTTATTTCCGATAAAATGTGACTTGGGTTACCTGCCCCACCCCCCAGCTTTTTGTTGGATATTGGAACAAGTACTATCCTCCCCTCCCCCCCAACTTCCATATATACCAGGATTTAGCTGTGTTTTGAGAGTTGTGTTTAATTTTGCCTTATTTTCATCTTGACCATTATGTTTAAAGATCCCTCAGGTAAAGACCCTCTTTTTGTGATTAACAAAAAGTTCATGATAAACATATCATTTATGATATTTTTGTCATAAAAGATTATGATAAAAAAGTGATTCCCTTTTTTGTTGGTTTTTAAAAAAGTATCAGACTAAAGAGGATGCTTAGTGTTGTGGCTTAATGCTGAACACAGTGGCAAGATGAGTAAGAAGCATGTTTCATATGCTTTTCTGGTGGCCGATTGGACTAAAGTGGTTGCTGAGGGTCCTTTCCATCTTTTAAAATCTATGACTCTTTTTGTGCTTCTTTAGACGATGAAAGGATCATTAGTGACTGAAGAAAAAGATGAAACTTTTAAGAAAGCTTTGACTTCAGGAGATGTTTCGCTGGTTGAAGAACTTCTCAATTCTGGTGAGAGAAAAGTTGTGGACTCAAGTTAATTAACCCTTGACCAAATTGTGACAACTCAAAAGATTTCAAAGTTTTTCTTTTTTTTCCCCCCAGCATAAAACACCTCTGTATAAAATGCTGCTATGAGCTAGAGTACAAAGGGATTTGTTATATTGACTCTCCTAATTTTTTTTCTCTTTTTGCATAATCTTTTCACATTGAATATTTCTGATCAGTAGTTTCTGGATACACACACATAAATAATCTAATGTTGAAAGTAAAAATATTGCTAACTATTAAGTACTACAAATGTATTTTACACCCCACTTCCTTTTCTGAGTCTTTTATACTGGCTATATCTCAGGTCTGCAGTGTTCTGCCACCCTGATGTTGGCCTCTTAGTTTCCCTTCAAGACCCATTTCAAATTCTGACTATTCCGGGAAACCTTTCTTGGTCCTCCCAGCTACTAATGCCTTCCTTTCTCAGAGTAACTTCCATTTTCTCTGTGCAGTTAAGTCCCAATTAGTTCAACTAATGAATCCTTCGATATTCCAGTTCCCATTTTTGGAAGTTAAAATTTTATGTAAAATGTGGTAATTGATTCCAGTCTAATGGAAACATGCCGTGAACAATTTTTAAAAATAAGGGTTTTTTAATTAACATAATAGTAAAGGATAAGGAAAATGCATTTTTGATTTATCTTATTACAGAGTAAGAGTAGTTAAAAAAGCAAAGTTTAAAAAATTCTGAACAGTGCATCTAAAGAAAAGTCTACATTGATGATATGTTGAAAAGATCATTATTGCTGTTTAGAACATTTTAGCAGCGTAGATTGAACTGTCTTTTCTTTGCATCTTCATACATATGCTGGTAGTTCAGAGAGCTTTATCCATATCTCTAAGGATTTATAAGCTTTCGTTTTCATGAAATGAACCAAGTGTAGTTGGATAGCCTAGAGCATTATTTAAAATGAGGAATGTTTTAAATGTGATATTGTTGTCCTCGCAGTATTTTTCAACATGTGGGCTAAAATAACCTGAAAATCAGTCTTCAAAAACAGCTGTCACCCATGCTTTCTTAGTTGACTGCCAAAGAATTGGAAATGATTGATAATCATTGCCTCTGAGGGTGACAATTTTGAGACCAATAAACAAGCATTGGTTTTCATTAAAAACCTCCCAATAAAAGTGTTAGGGAATCCTTAGACCCTTTAAATCCAAATCAAGTTTTTTTCTTCTTTAGAAATGAAAGTTTGGATCTGTCTATAGAGACCCAGCTCACACCCCTGTTGTTGTTCAGTTGTTTCTTTTTTAGTGTGTCAGACTTTGTGACCTAGATTGGGATTTTTTTGGCAAAGATACTGGAATAGTTTGCTATTTCCTTCTCCAGCTCATTTTACAGATGAGGAAACTGAGGCAAACAGAGTTAAGTGACTTGCCCAGGGTCACACAGCCAGTAAGTGTCAGGCTAGATTTGAACTCGGGAGGATGAGTTTTCTTGACGCTAAGCTTGGCACTCTGTCCACTGTCCCACCTAGCTGCTCTAATTCATATCCCTCTTCTTTTTCAAACCTCTGATGAGTTCTGCTCAACTTCCTTAGCACTTAATAGCTATACCAATCATATTATGCTTATCCAATACTGTATTGTTATAATTTCCTATGCAAAGGGCTGATGATAAATGGAGTTTGGATAGCCTGGGGGGGGGTGTAGGAGGGGACTCTATTATGGAGGGCTCCAAATACTTGGATGAAAAGTTTTTTCGCAATCTGATGCTCGGTTAGTTTTTTTGTTTGCTTTAGAGAGGAGTGACATACTTAAATACTTTTTTTTCTTTTTGGTGAGGCAGTTGGGGTTAAATGACTTGCCCAGGGTCACACAGCTAGTAATTGTTATTTGTCTGAGGCTGGATTTGAACTCAGGTCCTACTGACTTCAGGGTTGGTGCTCTATCCACTGCACCACCTAACTGCCCCAGACATACTTAAATATTCAAATAGATTTTTGAGTTCATCAATTTAGATGTGTACTCCTACAATGAAGATAAAAATGTATCCATGCTGACTCATCCTGTCAACTCTTGTCCATGTCATCCCATAAATTTTTCATAGTGGGTCTACTCAAAGCTGCCTTTGCTTTCTTCTGACAATAGGAAAAGTGGACTGGAGTATTGACTGTTCATCTGTGTTTCTTCACTGTTACTATGTGATAGCCCATCTTCTCTTCTTATCCCATAATTCCCTCAGGATGTCTTTTATGTCTTTGGCATTCCTCCTTGATTATATTTGCTGCCTGCTCATTCCTATTATTCACCTCTCTGTTTCCCTTTGTTGATATTCAGTTTTAATTTTTTGGAGACAGTTTCAGCCAGAAGCGATACCAGGGGAATTTTGGTATTAAAAAGATGTGCCTTTATTTTCATAGGAAGATTGAGATCATTAATGGAGCTTTGTAGTTTCTTGAAGGTATCTTGCTGTCGTATTCAGTTCAGAGTCCAATCCATCCATCTCTTGTCTTTCCCAGAGTTGAGAGTTTAGCAGCAGTATACAAGATGGAATGAGGATATTAGGAATAGGTGTCAGGGAGACTAACCTGGAGAGTATTGCATTAATTAGATTTGAAGTGATGAGCAAGGGTGATGGCAATATAGAAGAAAACATCAGCTTCAGAAACATTTGACAGGAACTTGACTGAGGCAGCATCGCCCTACACTTGAAGTCAAAAAGCTGGATCTTCATCACACTTCTAAAACTTACTAGCTGTGTGACTATAGGAACGTCACCTAACCTTTTTGAGTTTCTGCAGAGTTATTTGTAAAATGTGGGTAATAATAATATGCACTTCACAGGCTTATCAAAAAGATCAGATGAGATCATGTATGTAACTTACTTTGCAAACCTTCAAGTGCTACATAAATATAAGCTGCTACTTTGATGAGAGTAAGAAATTGAAGATGACTTTTAAGGTTTTGAGCTTGGAGAACTGGGAGAATAATTGTTTTACATCTTCCCATAGTGTCTCCCTTAATGTAGAACACATAGTAGCTGTTCAATAAATATTAGTCAGATGCATTAATAAATGAATAAAAGCAAGACTAGCAGAACAACTTTGTTTTCTTAATAGTGGAGATAAAATTGATAGTAATTTTACTTTATTTTTTCAAATGAAATCTTCCTTTCCCACCGTACCTTTCCACCACACTCTGTTGAGAAAGCATGAAAAACAGTATTTTTGTTACAAACTTAGTCATGCTAAACATTACCCCTCAAAAAAATCTCAATCTCACCTCTCAGGCAGTAGGTATCCTGTTTAATCCTATGAAATTACGTCTTGTATTGACCAGAGTTCCGAAGCCTTTCAAAGTTGCTTGTCTATACAATATTGTTTTTGTTTTATAAGTAATGCTCCTACTTCAACTTCTTTCTGTATCAGTTCATACAAGTCTTCCCAGATGTCTCTGAAACCACTCTTTCGTCATTTCTTATAGCACAATAATATTTCCATTACATTCATATATGATAATTTGTTCAACCATTTCCTAATTGATTGGCACCCCTCAATTTTTGATTCTTTGCTACCACAAACAGAACTATTATAAATATCTTGTACAAATGGGCCCTCTTTTCCTCTTATGATTTTTTGTGAGTATAGACCTTTATCGGTGGTTCAAAGAGTATGCACAGTTTAATACCTTTTGGGGCTTACAATTAGTAACAGTATTTCTTTGTGAAACTTTCTTTTCATGATGGTATGCCAATACCAACAGTCAACTGTAAGATATCACACTAGACTGGCTAAGGCTTCAGCCTTAGAAATAAAGTAGTTGGGCCATCTTTTCCAAATTTAAGGGCAAATAAATATGCTATCTGTATACATATGTACAACATAATATGAGTATACCAAACTAGAAATAATGGTTTTTAAAAGTGTAATATAACTCAGACAAAGCATGTGTTTACTTCCTTTTATTTTTTGAAATTGATATGTAGTTGAGAAATGTATAAGCAGTTGAACTTTACTATGCCAGATGTAGGATCTTGAGCAGACAGATAAGTGGTATTGAAGAAATATAGATCTATCATAGGTAAAACAGAGAGGTAAAATAGTGTAGTGTATAGAGAATCTGGGTTCAGGTTTTGTCTCTTGTATGCATGGGTTGTGTGTGACCCTTACGGATTACTCTAAGGTAAGGTGCCAGCCTACATTAGTAGAAAGAATTTTCCTTATCCAGGATTTGTTTATACCAATGAAATTACATGTCCAGTCCCTATATTGTAGGTAAAACAGATATAGTCCGTCCTTTTCATTTGAGGCTTCACTGACACTGGGAGTTTTGAATAGTGCCGAAGTCCTGGAGTTCCTAAAATTTATTTCCCCAACCTCTTCTAACATCCTCAGAGCTTGTGTGGCACAGTGGAAATTATATTGAGATTGGAGAGGACCTGGGTTTAAAATATTGGCTTTATTACTTTCTGTGTGACCTTGGGCATGTCACCTCTCAAAACCTCAGCTCCTCAACTGTAAAATGAGGGAATTGAACTAGGTGTCTTACAAGATCAGTTCCAGGTCCAAGTCTTTGATTCCTTATAATATGGTTGATAGGTCTAGCTCCAGGAACTGTGAGGGCATAGCAGTTTTTTTCCTAGTGTTTACAGGTATTTTCTCCTTGGGGAGGGGGGGAGGGAGAGAAACCTCTGCCCTATATAAAACCAGTTCAAAACAAAAAACATCTCATTAATGCAGAATCAAAAAGTAGTCTGTTTCTGTGGATATTCTTCCTCCAAACCTTGTTCTTATCCCAAAGGTCTCCTCTCATTTAACTTTTATACAACCTTTCTTCTTTCTGCTTCAAAACTCCCAGGTGTATATTTTACATATTCTAAAATATTTTAGTTAGTGTATAGTCATAGAATCTCAGAGTTAGAAGGGAAGACATCTTGTTCAGTCTGTGCCTGTATGGGAATATCCTTAATAATATCAACATTGGTAGTCACTCAGCCTTGTCTTTAAAAAGTTCAATAC